ACCAACCGTGTTGTTTAGAATAAAATTATTCAATGTAAAACCTAACCTAACCTAACCTAAACCTAACCTAACCTAACCTAACCTAACCTAACCTAAACCTAACCTAAACCTAACCTAACCTAAACCAAACCTAACCTAACCTAACCTAACCTAAACCTAACCTAACATAACCTAACCACATAACAAAATTAAAACATAGGTTGTTTTTATTTCACAACAAACGAATTTGTGGATTGTTCGAGCAATCTTCATAAGAATTTGGTTTCCACCAATACAATATGATTGGAAAATAATAATAATTCACTCTTTCCCCTTAATAATCGTGGAAAAACACCAAAAAAATATTTTTTAAATTATCAGACCTCGCCGTTCCCACTATGCCTCGACCTCACGCTGTACTAGCTTTTTGTGTATGCAATATGATAATAAGTTATCAAGTTGCTGGTCAAGTGATCTGAAAAGGCCGGCCAAACGCAAATGGTTGGTAATAATTTTGGCTAGTCGACAGTAGGAGGAGTAGGTACATGTAATTTTGTTACGGTGTTGATGTTTTTTTTGAAAATTTATATTTCAATAACATTAATGATAATAATACACGCGATATACAAGTCCGACGGCCGCGCGTTTATTGGTTGGCGAAAACCGGTTGTTCCGGGCGGAACCAGTTTCGAGAAAGAAAAACACATCCAGCTCCTCGGTGCTGCTGGTCGGCCATCGCAGATCTTGTATATTATACGTATATAGATTATAGAAAAAAAAAAAAAAAAAACGTAATAATCATTCTCCGTATTATTATAATATTATACATAACGCCCCGACAACGATGATCGAGTCTCCTCGAGTCGGTTCGAAGATAATCCCAAATAATTTGATCAATATACAGTCCAACGAGAGAGGAATATTGCGCCACTTAGGACGGTTCGCGTGAGCAGTTCACGTGCGGTTCGTATCGTCGAAATAGGTAAGATTTATTAAGTTAGGGTTTCAAACAAGAGTAAAAGAAAAAAGAATTTTTTTTTATGCTTAAAAAAGCCAGCTAAAATGTCCACTACATATGGGATGGACCGGTTTTTCAATGCTGTAAAGAGATCGTTCTTTGGTGACTTTGGCTGATTTTCAGTTTCTGACGGTCGGAAGACTGTTTGTCAAAAGTCTTGACTTTATCAAAAAAAAAAAAAAATAAAGTGACAAGCAAACGCTTGTTAACACAGTCGATCCTTCTTAAAGTAAGTCGACCGTGACCGTCAAGTGTGTGTGTGTGTGTGACCGGTGAAGTCTAATTTGGACGGTATTTTTTTTTTTTTTTTAATTAACAGTGTTTATATGTACAACATATTATATAGGTTACTATTACACACAGAAGCTACGTCGGACGCGCGTCAGGGGAAATCTAGTAGCTCTAATTTTTTTTTTTTTTCGTGGGAGAAAACTAATTCCTTATCTATTTGCCGCGTTGTATGTATTAATAAAGTTTTTTTTTTTAACAGAACTTTTCTCTCTCTCTCTCTCTCTCTATCCAAGTGCTCGTGAGCGCCTAAACCAGTAATTTTTTTAGCTTGATAGAGTTAACGGTAGCGACGGCCGGTTTACTCGTATATATATTTTTTTTACTCCACTCCCGTTCGATCTCGTCCGCGTTAAACGTACTTATAACATAATATAAATTATAATTTACACTTTTACCGTATTGATCCACCTGTAGTGTACCTACTGCACACACACACACACACACACAGACCAACCGGTGCAACAGAGCGGGGCCGGAGCTGACCTTCCCCGGGGTTTCCGCGGTAAACACACCGGCAGCGACCGCTGTCGACCACGGCTGTTTTTTTATTTTGTAGTGCCAACGTTTTTTTAAACATTTTTTTTCGTTTTTTTTATCACATAGACTATACATAACATGGTGACCAGACGTATTCTTTTTTTTAGTAGGACAGTACTTTTTTTCTATGCATTGTCCTGGTGCCCTCAACACTATGTGTTAACTACATGAAATTGTACCTTATGCATATGAATATATAATGCTGGATTTTACAAGCCCTGATGAAAATTGTAGTAAATATTAATTAAAACATTAAAGTCGGCCACTAAGTTACTGAATGAAATTCACGGATCTCAAAAATACATTTTACTTTTTTATCATGTTAAAATTAAAAATACAATTAAAATTACATTTTCACCATGAAGGAAGCGTGTTAAATAATATGTAGGAATTATATTAATAAAGTTTTGTACTTGTAATTTAAATGTACATACTTTTCATTCAATAATGATACATTAGAATATTTCTTATATTTCCAATGCGTTAAGCTTCAAAGTGATTTCATCGTAAAACACACACCTAATAAGTTGACATTATAATTTCAAATTATTAGTTTTCATAGTTGATAATAAAAATAGAAATAATAGAGTAATCAGATGGAAAAAAAAAACAATTTATATAGACGGAGAGATGACCTATGGGATATGGTATACCGCATAGGCTAAATGGGTAGAAATGTACACATACATACATTCGCCAATTATTATGATAGAGGAAGAGCAGAGTTTTAAAATGTACATTTTTTTTTGGGAGGATTTTTATATCTGGTCACTGAACGAGTGGTGCATACATAAAAAACAATGTGTCCGCGTTATATGCAAATAAAAAAATACAGCCAAAGTAGAAAATATCGTACATATTATTATATTAGTTTTATGTGTTGTTTTTTTTATCATCGGCGCACAAACAATGGGCATAATACGTGCGTTGTGTTGAGAAAAAAAAACAAATACATGTTTATACTTTTGTGCGGTTTTTTTCCACCTTCCTTCTTAGCTCACTTGCCAATATTATAAACAGTAGGTGTATTATACTAAACACACCTATAGCTGCAGCTAAATAGCCGGCCGGTCCGACAGATAACGGGTAAAGTTTGTTGGTTGGTCGGTTTTTCACTGATAACCAAATAACAATATCGTATTAGTATAATATCATTTAATATTTCAGTCGGTTGCACGGGTATAATATAATATATATATATATATATATATATATAAGTTATAACTGTAAACCGGTTCGGAAAATAATAACCAATTATCACACACATACACACCGTCCGGGCTGCTAATTTGCACTCTTTTCACACACACCGTCAAAGCATTATTATTATTGTCGTTATTCAATGCCATTGTAAATTATTGTTACTGTCGAAAATTGGACAAATGTCCGCAAACGACCGAACCAATGACCGGACTTGCCGAGCAATTAAGTACGTTTGTGCGAAAACCTACCTAAATAATAGACAGCTCCATCGACAATATTACTCAAAGCCGTTTCCGATACTTGGAAACTCGATAAACTAAAAAAATTAGCACAAGAATAGCTCGTGTAAAAAACTTGTCTACCGATGCGACGGCGAGGCTGGGGGCTCGTTAAAGTCCCCAACGGTTTACTAACTAAAAATTCTTATCAGTCGACGCCATAGATGATTGCGCCAACTAGTGATAAGAATGGAAATCGACTCGGCCGTTTTTTTTATGGGATTTATGTGTGTAGAAAATAATATATATGTATAATTCTAACTAATTATAATTATACAGCTAGATCGCACGCGTGTACATGCCTCCAATTGAGATTAATTGATTTAACCTTCTTTTGCCATCTTTGAGGGAATTAGAACCTTATCTCATGTTTATAACTGTTATCACTGCTTATCACAATTACAATTTTAGCTGATAACACAGAACTACAAATTTAGATATATTATTTTATACACACATAAATTCCCATTCTACTTTATTCTATCTACCTATCTGTGGTATAAAATAATATATAATACATCTGTGATTCTGGGTTCTAACAACACACTAAGATGGTGGAAAACGGTAACTTCAATATTATTGGCGGCATGTACACTTAGCAATCTAGTTTATTATATTGTATAATATATGTGATCTCCAATGACAATTCATCAAAGTTCAAGTTGATAAATTATCATAATATTTAGTCTGATAGAAACGTCAACGAGATTGAAATATAGGTAATACCGAATTTGGTAAAAAAAAAACAAAGTCAGAGTCAAAACAGATAAGGCTAGTTTAGTCGACAAATCTAACTAGTCGAGTTTTTTTTTTTATATTGCGCAAAACTAACCCAAATTACTCACTTTATATTAATATATATATATATATATATGTTATCTACCTACCGCCTGGGCACTACTAGACTTATCGACACTAACTGGGATTTTAATCGTCCAACTAGTTTGAACTAATTTCGCTAATAGAGAAAACTAATACAAGCGTAGAGATTTTTTTTTATTAACTCAACACCGTTACAACCAACGGTTTTATATTCACACATGGGCACAAATCTATAAAAATTCGACACGGTTAGAATGAAAGTTTGTGAAAACAGCTTCGACACAAATAGCTTTAAAGGTTTAATACTTTCAGGTACGGACACAGTCTATATTTTGCGCTTATAAAATTCTTAATAAAAATTATTACAATACCGTTTGTTTACAAAAGTCCGGTACAATCGATTCCGGTATTGGATTGCTATAAATATAACCACTCTGTCGTTGTGTGATACGAACGAATGATAACGCCGGCAAAATAATAGGTATATATGTGTGTATGTATATATAAATGGCAATAAACAAAATCATATCAAACAATATAACATTGTCAATACTGTTGCCGGAAATTGTTTTCGAGGGTTGATAGCTGCGTTTATTATATTATGCTATTCCGGATCAGATCGCTCTCCCCGTCCTCCTTTTGGGTATACCTTGGGAAAACGGTATATTTTTCTAGACAGCTATGAGACTTAAGTCGTTTGTGCACTTAACAGCAGACAATAATCGTTTCGATATCGATCTAGATAAATCATAAATCTTAAGAAGAAAAAATCATCCTCCTGCGCAACTTTTTTTTTTATAAAATTTATACTATAATAGATACACGCTCGAATATAAAAACTGTAAAGCAAAAAAAAGCTCGCGAGTAGGTACCTGTTGCGTCCCGAGCGCATCCGGCGGCCGCCAGCAGAACGGCGGCTGCGGCCAGGACGTGCAGGCTGGCCGTCACCGACGGTCGGGTCACCGTCTCCACCATTTGGCGATGAGTACGGCTCACTTTTTTCGCTTTCAGAACATCACGGCGGCGCGGCACGCACGACCGAACCAAACGTCAGTGGTGACCGCCAGAGACATGCACTCGCGGCCGGAACGGTTTCGATATCCCGAAGAATAAGACGACGACGACGACGATATTGTAGTAGTATTATTATTAAAAAAAAAATAAAAAGCGAACCGATCAGTAGAGTATAATTAATAAATATATATTTATATTACTGTATTATTTCGAAGCTAATTTTGCCGAAACTATAATCGAAAACGATTTCAAAAAACAAAAAAAAGGTCGTCAACGTTTTTATCGATAGCACTCTGCGGCGCGCGCGTTGTCACTGTTGGCGTCCAAGTCACAAACTACCGGCGGCGGAGGCGGCGGCGGCACTAGTCACTACCTACTTGTTGACTGCGTTCGCTTGTGGAATGAGCCGCTGCCGCTGTGCCCGCTCTCCGGTGCCGCGTTCTCGCTCGCTCCTCCGCGGTGCCGCCGCTCTACATCGGTCTCCCACTCGCACACACACGCACACACGCCCTCTCTCTCTCTCTTCGGCCGGTACGTACCGCGTACATACACGCACGCACGCACTCACGCACGTACCGCGACGACGACGGACGACCGGGCACACGCACGAACAACCGGATCGTACGTACACCGAAGACACCGGCGACCGGTTCGGTGTGTATAGTGGTGTACAGGTGCCGGGGCGGCCCGCGGTGAGGTCGGACGCCGCGCGACGCAAAGGCGTTTAATTATTTTGTTATTTTTTTTTTACCTGATGGCGCGTGCAGGCGCCGCACCTTATCGACCCCCAAAAAAAAAAAAAAAATTATCAATAAAATCCTCGACCACCCCTATTAGACTTTACTGCGGCCGCGGTAGGTACAAAATAAAAATTCAAATTAGACGGTCAAATAAATGGTTTTTGAACTTTATTTTTAAGGTCTAGTAAAAAACTTTAAGCGACTTATGGTTACACGGGGTGTCTTATGGCTGGGGTAATTCTGAAAATTTGTCCATCACGTTTTGTGTCACAGTGCTGACGTCATTATGGTTATGGAGGAGCATCATTGAGGAGTATTAAGGAATTATGGAGGAGTATGAAGGAGTATTAAGGAATTACGGAGGAGTATGGACGAGTATTAAGGATTATACAGATAGTGGATTAGAGTCTAGAGATACATGTATCTGCATGAAGTGTGGATAGGTACTCTTAACTTTTTTTATGTTCCTACCCCCTCCCACTATATTTAAAGTTATAAGAGTTTAAAAGCTAGGACAAGAGGGGAATGGCGGGCAGATCAAAATAATACTACACTCCGCCTTTCCCCCTGCCCTTGAAACTTGAATAACTTCAAAAATAGTTATCCAAAACTGGTTGTCGACCAGTCAAAAATATGTTTAGTAAATTATTCTCGATTTAAAAAGTCAATGAAACGTTTGCATTACCATTCAAGTTTCAAAAGTTGCTATGAAAAAAACTAATTTGGAAATGGGGTGAGAACATGAAAATTGAGATCACAGTATATCAAAACTTGTCTTTTTTGGTTTTCATTTTAAACACGTTCTACGGTTGGGAGTCAGTTCAAAAAGGTGCCTAATGATTTTTAGTAAGATCAAATATCCGTGCCATTGTTGACATTAAACGAGGCGTCTACTTTATTAAAACCAGCTAAAATAGACACTGAAAACATTTTTCAAACCATTTTCAATAATCGCTTTTAGCTGGTTTTTGTAACTAATCGACGCCTCACACAAGAGATAAGGAGAGACAATAAGACGCCATAAAACTCTTGCATGATTCATATTATGTTTATTAACTTTATTAACTCGACAATGATTACTGTAAAAAACTGGTTTTACAACGAACGAGTAACGACGACACATGCGTTTGTAAAATTATAAACTTCATCTTTATGTTCATGCATAATTTTTGTTTATGAATACAAATACACTAATATGGCCTATGATAATAATAATCAATATGTACATAATTAAAATGTGAAATCTTAGAAAATTCTAAGATGTCATTCGAGATGCGACCACAGTGCCGAATAAATTAGCTGAATATAAATAATAATTTTGTGCTGGCTCTTGTAAATAGCAGTTACAAAAAAACAACCAGGCCACTATAGATTTTCAGATATTTTTCTACTAAACGATAGTTAATTCATATTTAATTTACACACACACACGGGTAGGTACAGACCGCAACGTGCAACATAGATTAAGATATATGAACATATAGGTAACATAGGTAATAAGAATATCACCACCGTATACATAGTGTTAAAATGTAGTTTAGAGTATTGTTTTCTGCGTGCCATTCAACGATAATTGATATCTAATAGATGTATTTTTAAATATAATAATTATGCCTGTTCGGATAATAATCACCGATGACGTGCACGGCCACAATATATGAGCGAATACATAAGAAATTCCAAAAAAAAAAAAAACTTACTTACCTGAATTATTGATCAATGCTGAATTCTGAATAAAATAGAATGTACACAGAACGGAATTGAGTTCAGTGAGAACACTGTGAAGCGGTTTTTAGTAAAAAAAAAAAAAATGACTCCTATTTTCTAATTTCAAACAAGTACATTAGAAATATAATTGTATACAAAAACAATGTATACTTGAAATAAATACTGTGAGCACAAATAGTTTATATATTATATAATACACACACTATCCCATTACTGATTGGCAATCAGTATGTCAAAAACCTAAGAGCCTATATTATTATATTTGCCAAGGGGTAAAACCGTACCAGTGTAATGTATATTATCCCTCGACTAAACTGTACAGCTCTGTAATCGTCTGGTATCATATTATACAATACATGTGTATACTGTCTGTACCGTCATTATATGCAACAACTATAGGTATATACTATGTATAGTCCAAGGCATTTCATTTAATATCCCCATTATTCGGTAGACAGCCCTGGAAACTAAAGACAGCCCTAATTGTGGAAATCTTCTTAATGTATGTTATACTATAATAACTGTTGTAAAGCCATGGCAGATCTTATACTTGACAAAATAACAACTATATGTACATTAGATTATTGTCTTTCTGTAAAAAAAAAGGCAAACAATCTATTTTGTTAGGTAGTGTTGATCAGTGTTTATGAGTGTACACATACATAACGATTTTGACATTGAAACTTTACACACACTTACATATACACAAACAACAATTATTCGGCACTCTATTCATCCACATACGGCGAGGTTGTACGGTTGTACGCCGAAGAGTATGGTAAGGAATGGAAAAAAAAAATAAGAAATGTATTTATATATATATATATATATATATTCGTATGATAATATGCAAAATCGGATGACGACCGGCTCCCCCGGCTTGGCAGACAAATAATAATATTGCCATCAGTGTCTGTGCACAGTCACGACGGAATAAAAGCGAATATAACGGCACATCGAACCCACACCCACGGCATATATTAATATATATATATATATATACACATATATAAGTACATTAGTACCATATACATTAAAAACCCCACGGTATGCCCGTTGTTAACACACGAACGAAAATCTGCATATTATAATATAAGTCCATAAAACACCGGCGCGATAAGAGACACCTATTGCTGCTGTGTGCAAAAAACCGTCGTCCGATACTTGGATGGGAGTAGTAATAATAAGAAGGAAAATATTTTCTAAGTAATTCCCAAAAACGTCCAGTGAGACCCAGGTTAAGTGTTATAATATGCTTTGGGTCTTATAGTTTTTTAAAAAAAAAAAAACCTTAAAGCCTGTGTAACTTAGAGCTGGGAGGGGTTTTTTTTTAACATCTATTGGGCTTAGTAGCGCACACACTTCTTGTTAGAAGATTTTTTCCAAAATTTGTCCACTTTTTTCCAATGTATAAAATATTGATTAAATATATAATCAATATTAAATTATTAAGCTTTATTATATAAAAGCTCTTTGAATATCAAATTTACATTTGCCGTTACACAACAAGGTGTCCCACAAAGATAAAACAAATAAAATAACTTGTGTTCTAGTGAATATTTTTAAGATTCAAAAAATCAAGATAGCCATTTTATTGAGAATGATTTGCTGATCATTTTTACTGGTCGACAACTATTTTTGGATAATTATTTTGTGATGCGTGCAGATAAAAATAACTATCTACCGCACACCATCTTCCATTCTAATAATCCAAAACTGGTTGTCGACCAGTCAAAATACTCAGAAAATTATTCTCAATAAAACGGCTATCTTGGATTTTATTTTAAAAAAAATTATTTAAAAAAGTAAAACAGTTAAGTGCAATAAAAATCGTGGCGCAAATGAGTATAAATTAATTTGAAAAAAAACAAAATCTCAAGTATCTAAATAATATATTATATGTTATATAACAGTATAAGCACGAACAAATAAAATCGTACAGTGTAGCGCAGTTGAGTCGATACAATTTGTTTTTTGCTTTTAAGTCTTAATACGGTTGTACCTGTGTGTATATAATTTATATACATATATTATACATGTTTAATTTTTTTTTAACATATTATAATATATCATATACGCTTACCCGTGTTTGCGCGGTGTCTTCGATACAATGACCTTTTTGGCTTAATAGTAATACATTATTACTATATATTGTATATACATACAAAGAAAACCAGTTTGTCAGACAGATGTGAACGTGTGACGTGCCAAGTAGTTTTACTTGGGTTGCTGCAACGAGTTTATTCGAGTCCGACATTAAAATAAAATAATAATAATAGTAATTACAATATTAAACCACCGTCACTAATTAATTATAATATGTTTTAATATAATATCATCTTGGACAGCTCACAGTCACACATGGACATGGGCTAGGCAAGTAGATTCCAGTGTTCCTTTTATACTATAAAAAAAGGTCTGAACTTACTTAGACCACTCCACCCCCTCACCCTCTAGGTACCCTGCTATTTTCGATCAGGATATGTTCAGAATAAGTTATAATAGTAATAATAATATAGACACCGTTATTTCAAATCAAAACGTATACGGTTGTGTTGTGCCCGAAGTTGTTGTATTGTTCTATTGAAAACGAAATTTAGTATTAAAAAAAAAAAAAAAATCATGGTATATAATTTTTTCAACTCTGTCGCTATTGTTTCAAAAGTATTGTGGAGTAGTTTTATTGAAACGAATCTAATTAAACGCGTTGGCGAATATGTACTGTAAAATATTATTATAACGTTGTTACTTGTTGTTGTTGTTGTCGAAATGACATTCTGTAATTTTAAGTTGGATTTTTTACATTAAAAAAAAAAAAAATACACCGACTTACTGATTTGTGCTGGCGATAAATCCGTTTCCCATTAAAATACATACCTATGTTATATTATAGTGC